CATTAAAATCGATCGCTCGTCTACATATTACGTATAAACGCGGTGTAAATTTCTTACATTATTATGATGTTTATATGTATTGCACGATGTCGAATAATTTCTGAAAAGTTGGAATTTTACATCTCGTGTGTTTAGGCATTATGGTTAAATTTGCTATTACAATTATTATTTTATTCTCTATAAGTTTACGGTGATGTAATATAAACGTACGGGTTATACCTATGCATAATATATATATATATAGATTAATTCACACCATACAAGCTCCCCCCTCTCCCCCCCCAATAGCTAAGTAATTCCAAATCTAATTTTTAGAATTTGAACAAATAATTCATTATTAAACGATAAAACAGGATTGAGCATTGTTTAGATAGATTTTGCGTTCTATACGCGTTCAAAGGTAACTGTCATTGTGGTGATTTAAAAACCAGACCGCAAACGTGGCCATAGACAAATTGTATACAAACAATAACGATTATGATCAAAATATGTCAGGCAAACTTAAATATAATATATACATATTATTACGAGGACTCGACGACACGTGATTAAAAAAAAATGTCAAAACATTATAACTTATAATATGTGTATCGTTGTACTAGTCGTTGCGTACGCCCTCTTGCATCAATGTTTTCGCTGTATTATTATACTACATACTTTGCTTATATGGTTGAACGAAATACCCTGTTATGGGCATACGCGATATTATTATTAAATCCTACCCACGCCGGCAGTCCATATAGCTTTCAACTACATCATTACATTGAAAAAGCCCAGTGCACATTATAGTACAAGTGAACTATAATAATAATTGTCATAAATCATACGCGATGAAGTCAAAGCGGAAGTACACGCGACCATGTATCACACGTTTTGACAGTGAACAGCTCACGCGTCCTTGCCAAAATTAGTCCACGATAAGTACATTTAGGTATATTACAAAACTATAATATTATAATATATCTACTTGTCTCTCGAACATCATTACACGAGAGGTTGGCTCGTTTTAAGCCGAATAAAAAAATAAAAACTATTTACTCTAACAAAATATTTTTTATACACAGTGATTTGTCAAGCACGTTCACCACTCCCTCATTCACACTTACAAGTATAATGCGTCTATCTACATATTCTGATTTTTGGAATTATTTATACTAAACCTATAATTTATTTTCGATTATACTTGGAATGTAGTTATGCTATAAAAATTTTTGTTTTTTGAATAAGAACCACCCTTTTTTAGTGTAAAATATTTAGCCAATGATTTACTTGTGAATGTTGTTTATGTGTTTTTAAATTAAAATTTAAACGAGTAATTTTCTAAATATTTAACATTATGTACAAATAAAAATAGKTTTCCCATGTTAATTGGTTTCAAAATATGATGGGAACTAATATATATCACTATTTGTTTTTTATGATTTGTAAAATTTTTATGCATTTTAAGTTTTAGATTAATAATAATACCTATTTTATATTTTTGTGTACTAATTTTTAAGGATTTTTATCTTAACTAATAAGTATGTATGTATATACTCGTAAACATTTTAATAACTCATCAGAAACAATACTTGATCAAATTTTGTTTAAGATACATCTACAACAACAAAATAAATTAAACAGTTTACTTTAAAAATGAAATGTTCTTGAAAAACAGAAGTTTATATGGCACCAAGACACTCTTGTTATGATACAAAAAATCCAAGTATTTAAAAATATGGTCTTTATGTATAATAGATGCGTATACTCAGAAATTTCAAAAATCAGAATTTGAATAGAAGGAGAATTGTGGGTAGTTGGTGGTGATCATGATTGTAAATCACCCTATGTTCTTGGTTAATAAGAATATACCTATCTACATATTAATACCTACCTACTTGCCTATTTCATAATAAACCATATTACCACCGACGCGCAACCGTATAATAATATCTTAAACGCGTTTGACGCACGAAAGTTTTTCGCGGAAAAGAAAACGTACAAAATCGAGGGAAAACTGTTATTATTCGTTCGCTTCAAATTGTAATAATATAATTATTGCGTCGAAAACATTTTTCTGCAGTTATTCAATATCGTGTATATGTGGGAGAATTATTATTATTATTATAAAATCGCTACAGTAACCGAAATTATGGAGCGGGGAGGGCGTATGTGGTATGATATATAATATTAACATGTGAGAGTATTGTATTGGTTTCGGCGAGATTGCCTATTAAACTGGCGACCCTTTTATCGTTTTTGATAAATCGATGAGGATCCCGCGGCCGTGTCTGTATAGCGTATAATATGTTGAACGTGCAGTGCCGCGGACGGATAAAATCTCCACGGCCGTTCTATATAATATTAACTGTATGCGCCGGTTTCCCTTCGTACATGTTGTATGGAAAAAGTTGGTGTCTTAAGTGTATGACGGAGAGGGTGGTTGCTGGAGAGATGCGTGAAGAGCTATCTATATACTACTACTATTATTATTATTATTATTATATACTAGTAAGGATATATAGACATAAAACTTCAACGGTGCACTGACCAAGACGAGGCTTTGTTTGATTGATGGTTTTCGCGTCTCATGAATTATACATATATGTCTGTGTGTGTGTGTGTGTGTGTGTGTGTGTGTGTGTGCGTGCGTGTGTTGTATGGGATCTATTTTCCGGGTGCAAAAATGTGAGTGGTATAATTTCTTTTCGCCCCTCTCGTCCCTTCGATACTACCCGACTGCGCTTTTTTTGTTTTTCTCGAGAACCTTATTGGACCCATTTTGCCGTGTTGTTATTTCGTTTGCTATATTAGGTATGCGTATACACTATTTCTATAAACGTTCAAAACGGTAACTATCTTAAATGTATATATAAAATATTGAAAATGCGTATAGGTACACACAAAAGGGGGAGAAAAGTGAGTGGAGGGAGAAGGGAGAGGGTACAAGAGACGAAAAGAGGATGAAATAGAATGGAAAGGAATGAAAATTGTTTTCATCMATTTTCAGCTCTTTATTATTTGTGAATAAATATCGACCCGATGTCCAAAAACGATGGGAAAATCTGAACAGTTTACCTTTGAGAAATACATTTTGAGATGTTAAAAAAACCTATGGTGAAATTATGTATTTAAATTAAAAGTTTTTTTCATGTTATAAACGAATTTATTTTTTATTTTTTTTGTGATATACCTACTTAAATCTATAAAGAAATAACTGAATTATATTATACTATATTATAATATTAACGTTTAAAAATCTTTAAATAGTTTGAAAAGAATATCGTATTGGAATAATTTTTTGTAAGAATATACATCGTCAGAATTAAAAAAAAAATAAAACATAAAGAGCGTTCATTCGTATATTGTATATGTTGTATTCTATGTATTTATATATACAACCACGCAATAAAATAGACACCATTCTGGTCTGTTAGAAGTTAGAACATACATTTATGTAAAATGATAATTACTTAGACTTTATAGATAAAACTTCTTACATGTCTTATAATTATAAAGTTAATTCCTTTTTGAAAAATAGTATTAAATTTTGTTGTTTGACGCAGTATAGTTTAAATATTGAGTATGAATTTAATGTATAATATATAATATCTTAAATAAAATGTTAGAACGACTCGTYTCTTAATACATAGTAATATAGTGTAGTATTATCATGCTTATACCTACTTGTGTCTGAAMTCGAAAAATGTTGTGAAAATGAACAAAACTGAATACCACTTACTCGGAGGATCTTTATCCGAGAGCTATAGTTCGCACTCGAAACTTTTATTACCGAGATCATATCGTATTTTTATGACCGTCTAGCTCATTTTTTTTATACTACACACCATTAAGAAAAACTACCCGATGAACCGTTTTATGTGAGCCACACCGGTGATTTTATGTTGTTCAAAAATCACCAACCTTATAGGTTACTTCAGAATTTTATTTTTTACTTTAGTAAGATGTATTATATTATGGAATTTCTCATACGAGAAAAATATATTTAGACC